ATCAAAAAACATTGGCACCAACGATCTCTGCAATCTAATTAGTCTTACGATGCTTTTAGGAAAGAACGATGTGCTCTGGTTGAATGGAAAAGAGCTGCATTAAGATTATTAACAAGATTATTAGAAATTAACAGCATATGATTTTGCAATGACATGAGAGCGAGCAAATTATGACGGAATAACTGAAGGTTTGACATGCATCATCGGATCAGCCTTTGCTCTCAGTTAATGCTGAATTTTCTTTGATAACATAAACAGATTAACTGCAGCGATTAACTCAATTTCATACAGTATGACCAAATCGCAATGCTTCACCTCACCCTTCTGAAATGGTGTAAATTCACACATGAAATGTTGCTGTCGAGAGTTTGAGGAGATTTCTTAATCAAAGTTGTTGCAATAAAAACTATAGAGCTTGAGAGAGAACGAGGGAGAGGCGTTCAGATCAGAACATCTGAATATCGCGTCTGTCGAAAGCTGCGATTAGCTGCAAGTCGTGTTGCGTCTTCTGACCGTTTCAGTGTTTCTCTGCTGAAGACTTATGATGCTGCTTCTGCTGATGATGAAGATGGGCTTCTGTCAAGTACAAAAACATATGAAAACAATGTCAAGGATCCATATTTTTTTTGAGAATTCCCATTGCACTGAATGGCTGAAAGTGACAAATCTAATCTGATTTTCTGGTCGGGATGCACCAGACCACTTGGAAATTAGGTCGTTTTCCCAAGGTGCCGGACTGATGCAATAATAATACATTTCAATATTTGATTTTATGCACTTTTTTGTTGCTTTTGAACAATTTCCATGAAAACTGAAGTGCCAATATAGAACTGAAAATGGCTGAAGCTGGTTTAAAATGTTTAAAAAGAGACATTGTGGGATGCAGAAGTATTGGAATGATGGGATCAAAAACTTGATTTTCGATTCCCAACCCTAATGTTGACTTACTTTGCTGAAGCGGCGGCCGGTCGGGCGTCTGGAAGATCTTCTTTGTCACAGGTCCTTCTCCCGCCGCGGTGATGAGCTGAACCTCCAACCTGTAGAAGGTGGCCGGCCTGAGGCTGGACACGACCAGACGATTACGATCCTGGAAAACATTACAAAATACACACAGCTTTTAGACTGTAACATCATCAGGTCCTTCACGATAAAGCCACTTTTCATGGAAATGCAACAAAAACGGTTTATATATTAATTGACCATGTTATAATCTCTGTATAATCCAGTGGATTTTCTCTTTTCGGATTATTCAAATCAGATTATTCAAGAACGAAGCTCATGTAGATGTTTCTGCAACACGTCTGTCTTGAGCTCATTGGAAGCCTTTCAGATTTACTCGTCGTGAAGAATGAAATCATCCATAAACATCACAGATTCCACATCATTCATACACAAATCCAATCTGATCATGACGGCGTGCCTCGAACCGGCCTTCAGAAAAGATCTGAGGAGTCATGCGAATGAGAATCAATTGGATTTGATGTATTTCAGTCTGAGTGGATTAAAGCTGAACTGTTTGTTCAAGGAGGAGAGCAGCCAGTGTTATTGATGGAGAAGATCTGCTAGATGTTTGACAGCGCTGATGCCAGAGGACCAATGAGCTCAAAACGACAATCCATCCCCGAGAACATACTAATAACTACCATATGAACAATAATAACTCCAATAAATTATTTACTTCAAAACAAACCTGCCCATTAGGGCTGGGTGACACAGCTGAAAATGATATCTCAATACTTTTCAGCTTTATATTTAATATTTAAAATTTAAATATTAAATTATATTATTTATTAATATATATATTAATATTTATATTCTATATTTTAATATATATATATATATATTTATATAGAAGTATATATTAGTTTACATTTTTTTTTTATGTTTTCAATATATATAATTTATCATTATATACAATTCTTACAATTTTATATATATAATGCAATTTATATATTCATAAAATGATTGATAAAATTGTAATACAATGTAATATAAATTAGTGTATTAATTGTTTTGTATATTAATGAATATTATACTATTAATTAATTATAATATATTAATGAATACAAATAATAATTATATATACATAATTTATATTGATATGTAGTATTATAATATTTTAATTTGTGTAGTATATAAATTATATACATATATTCAGATTTTTTATGTTATTTTATATATGAATTAATATAATTATATATAATTTATATTTATATGTAGAATTTAAATTA